TTATTTAATATATTTATAATAATAAAATAAATCCTTAATTATATAATAAGTAATTAATTTATAAAAATAATATAAATAAAGTATATTTACTTTAAATCTATTAATTAAAATAAATAATATAAGTAATAATTACTTATAGGCTTTATAAAAAATAAACTTTAAGATTTTTATACTTATAATAATATAATTAAAGAAAAAAAAAATAAACCTATAAAGCTTAAATTATACTTATAATACTACTATATAATTAGCCTTAAGGATAAAATTAATAAAAAAAGGGTATTATATTATAACTTAACCTAAGATAAAGTATATTAAAAATATACTATAAAAAAATACTTTACCTAAAGAATTAATTAATATAAAAATAATAAGCTTATTATAAACTACCTTAAATAAATTACTTATAAAATAATAATCCTATATTTAGGCTTATAATTTTAAAAGTAAACTACTAAAAATAACTAAATATATAAAATTTAATTTTCTATACTTTTTAAAATAACTTAAATAAATAATTATTAATAAAGTATTAAAATTAAATATAAACTAAATTTTTATTATATTTTACTTACTTTATAATTATATTTATTTAAAGCTACTTCCTATCCTCTTTGCTAATATAAACTAATTAACCTTAGCTTATTACCTTAGGAACTTACCCTATACTACTTAAGTATTAGGTCGGGACGTCACAATGGCTAATAAACTAATAGTCAGAGTCTAATATTATGTGAAAAGCCTTTCTCTAAGCTTTCCATACTTATCACATGAGGCAAACTGCCACCAGTCTGAGTGCACCCAGAACAAAACATATCGCACCATAAAGACAACTGGCGCCGGAGCAGGTGGCCAGTTTTTCCAGAGGCCATTTTCATATCCTCTGTCATGATTGAAAAATCCCCAGCTAAGGGTCCCAGCAGGAGGCAATTGTGCCTGTCATAGAAACTCATTAGCCATAATCAATTCGCATTTGCGGATAGAAATAAACTTACTGTATCCTTGTTCGCGAATTTCTCGAAAGTTTCTTCTAAACTCTTCATCTTATCCCTATACTTCTCCAGCCCAAGGATAGTCATTATTTCCTCGTGCAGGTGATCAGCTAGATTTTGACCAAACTCATCAACTATGGCAATTAGATTCGACCCTTGATACGCCTCTTTGCCATCTAAGCAGTCTCGAATGTATTTGATATATTTCTCGAGGCCCTCATCAAAGGTATGGTGCTGTTCGACGTTGTGCTGCATAATGCCCTTCTCTCCGCTCATTTCTTCAATGAGCGGAAATAGCATCTTTTCCTCCCCATCGTGGTGGACGTGGACTAACTGGTAGAAGCAAGCACTGTAGTGTAGGAAGGACTTCTCGTCTTGAGCCTTAATATATGGGGCTTGGAGATAGATGCTATTCAAACCCCGCAGCATCATGTTGTGAACGCATGCCATTTCGGAAGCACACCGATGGAATTGGTTGGGCTCAGAATAAGTTAGCCACATTGTATCTGCTAAAGTAACTGGAGATTGGCCTATACCTGTTCCCCATCACGGAGCTGTGATGTAGGTGTTTGAATCAATTCGAAGGGATGATCTGCTGGCCCCTGGGTAGTCATATTGGCTACAATCACAACAAGATCTATTCAGACTGATATGGGATGCAACTTCGACATCAGTAAACAGGACAGAGCTGCGCATGATATGACTTATATAACAACGTATGAGAAACCGAGGTCCAGCGTCACTTGACAGGGGAAAACCACAGATAACCTTCATTGGGAAAGATACCTTTAGGCTGTTTACCATTGAATAAAAGGGCTGTTTAAACTGTTGACACTAAAGAGGGCTACCGTACGTAATATTCGAGGGTGCAGTAGACTACGATAGTAGCCAATCGGCATTAGTAAGTAACAAGTTAGGCGTACATTGCGCATTTCGTTCTCATTATTTGATCGTTCTTAGTTCCTTAACGTACGCAACATGATTCTATTACATACAAGACCTTTAATAAGCTGAAAGATGTATTATCCGGATTGGCACCTTCATCTGACTGGCCAACTATACGATTTCACACAAAGCCACGAGTAGGATGCGGCTTTATCCGAGACGATCCCTGTTTACTCGTTTTCTAGCAGAATGGATCTGTGGCTGTGTAGTGTGTGCTGTGAGTCGTATAGTGATACGTTAGTCTACATGATTGCTCATTTAGTGTGAAAAATATCATCTTACTCTTTACCAAGCAACACCCTGTAACGGACAATTTAGCGTGATGCACTTGCGGGACATGTTGTGGAGAGGGCCAGTCGAATAGCGGCAGTCTATACTTCGTACAGAGCCCAGGGTTTCTGTTCTCATGTTAAATGCGGAACTCTATAAGATCGTTTGTTCCATAAGTCAGACCAGACCATTTCTAACCCCCGAGAACCCACAGTAACATCAGGTAGCCCCATCAGTATGATCATTAAATCTATGGGATATTTTGGTCTTGTATACAATAGCATTTGTAAGCGTGGTTTGTAAGGAGGAATAATAATAACTGTCTGGCTCAACTCCATATTCGTATTTCTATAGTCCAGACCCACGAAGCGGTGTACGAGATCATAGGGGCCAAGTTTTTACATTGGGACAGATGCATCGACCGCTTCGTCCGAGCCTTTCTGGTAGGTGAAACTATTCACTATGGGACGAGTATCGCAATCCGAATGATTATGAGGGAATATCACCATATATCAACCGTAGATTAGAGCATCAGAAAACCAACGCCTTGTCGGTACTTGCCCGAGCGTGCTTACCTACCCCTAAGACCTCGAATATCAACTCTCAGCTCCTTATCTCTATATTCTCAGTACCGGAAATTGAGGCCAGGTACGTTTAAAAAGACTTATATGGATGCTCTATGACGCCAGAACCGAGATTCTACATCAGAGGCTAAACAGGCATAAACTTTCTAGCGAGAACACACATTGGGCTATCTTTGCATTCAGCAGTAAGCCAATTCATCGGCAAGGCACTAAATGTTGCAGCCCTAGTCAAAACAGAACCTAGGCATCCTTTCTTATATCCGTCACGTCATGGAGATCGCTCTGAGATCCATCTTGCTCGTAGGAGCTCCTTACAAGCAAATCTTTTGCCAAGCCTCGTAAGCTCCTTGCGCTTACTCTTTAATATCATACCATGCCGAAAGAAGCAATTTGCCGCAAAGCCATCATCTACTAACATCAAACTAAGCAATTGGTCCAAACAAGCGAGGACCACCTTCCCGCCACTTTCAACAGGCCATCTCAACACTAACACTGCTACTCGTACAAACGCCCCGTGGTTTCTCGTTGACCCTCGGAGTTGATCCCTGTTGAACTGATGATAATACGAGATTCCCATATTCACCATCTATTACATTGCATGTATATCTAACTCCTACATTTACTACATATAGTCAGAATAAGTCAATTTTTCTTTGGGAGAATTAGCCCTTATTAAGGATCTTAGCCCCTAGTGGTCCCAGTCAGGGACGTCGCGTCAGAAGGCTGGTAGTCAGTCGACGTTGTGAGAGTCTAAGGTCTAGTTAGTGAAGAATAGCCTTGGCTGATGTATCTAGCTGGCTGGATATCATTGCTTGAAATGATATGTAAAGAGCAGCTATAAAATAACAACATATCCGCCTATCCTAGTCCTCCACCCTTGAGTCAAAAACTTTATCTTGTTGAGCCCAAACACAATAAATCAAAATCATTGGATCTCTTTGACGATGCCATTCCTTAACATAAACCAGCAGATCTCTATCTGGTTTATGGACGAAGGCCTGCGAAATGCCCCGCCTATTCTTCTCGTTCCCGGCCTGACCTGTGATCTTCACGACTGGTCTTGGCAGGTGAAATTCCTTCTCGAACTTGGATTCCGTGTGGTCTCCTTCGATATTCGTGGCCAAGGCCGCTCTTCTGCGCCGGCGCCGACCCCGGGCATCACCTCATGGCCCGGTCCGAACGCTGATCCCTCCATCATTGACTATTTCCCTGAGACACGCACCTACGACATCATTGCTCTGCTAGAACATCTTTCCATAACGTCTACAATCGTTATGTCGCATTCCCAGGGATCTATGGAAAGCTACTATCTTGCCACAGTGCGGCCAGACCTCGTACGTGCCCTTGTTAGCTTGGACCCCATTCACCGATTCGACCACGCCTTCCGTGGTGCCAATGTATCGTACTTCAACCTCCCAAGTGATACTATCTCCAAAATGATCACTTACTTTGAGTGGTCCTACTCGGAGGGAAACCCGGAATGGCAGAAGACGTGGCATAAACGTCGCGCCAGGGAAATGGACGAACAGGTCATGTATGCGATGTCTTGGGGCGGCTGGGGGGGTATGAACTGCCTTGGTCGTAAGGAAGTTGCCATTTCTCAGTTTAGCGGGAAGCTGAAGTGTCCACGGTTGACTTTTGGGTCCCACGAAGATGCCGTTGCTGTTGATCGACACGATATAGCTAAGGGAAGTGAGCTGGATGAATGCGTTGTGATTGATGGCAACGGCCACTGGTTCCACCAGTTGGCCAGTGAGAAGTTCAATGACATCCTGAAAGCTTGGCTTGGGAAGATTGGGGCTCTGCCGGTCGAGAAAGAATAAACCATTTACTCCCTTTACAAAACATATACTAGGGAAGAACGTTTGGCTTATTTGGAAGGGCAATCTCGGCATATAAAACTCCAGGTTTAAGTCTGAAAGACTGAATTCTAATTATTTCTACCTAAGTTTCGAGTTAAATCATTGCTACTATAATAAAATGCTAGAATTGTGATGCCGCAAACGTTCCTAAGAGCATTTCTGTAGACAAGCAGCGAAATGGTTTACATCTCGTCAATTTTCAACACACCTGAAACCTCACAGTATCCATAGTGTGTAAGGGGAGAAGGCGCCAATCTTCAAAATAAACATTAAATTAAATTTTAAAAAAAATCAAGTTCTTTAATATTAATATTTTTATAAAACATTTAAATATTAAAGTAATTAACTTAAGATTAAATATAATACTTTATTTATTATTTAATATTTCTTTTAAATAAAAGTTATTAATATATAATATTTTATTTTTATATTTAAATATATTAAGTAAATTTTAAAGTAATAAATTAAATAAAAGGACTATACTATAAAAAAAATAAAAAATAACAATAAATAATTATAACGAGGCACGCAAAGACTTGAGCAGTCAATACTCAACACATCCAGGCTAAGAGGCATGACTCAGCACTGGGAACCTATCTATTTTGGGGAAGGCGGACTAACACTCCGCTGAACGGCTTGTCATGTCCGCCATTCCCGTCAATCTCCGTATGCGGATATATATCCCCGCATCTGCCCGTATTCCGTCGCACCTGCAATCCTGCCACAAGAATCCCGTAACGTTGCCGAATCTCTTCCTCTTTCACCGCAAGCCCAGATGGATCGTTCCATATCCGGCTCGTCATTTCCAAGAGGAAGACACTCTCTTGCTCGGCGCGCCTGTGTAAGCTCATCCAGTGGGTTTAGCTAGAACAAAGGACCTACTGACAGCGGAACAGGGGTAATTACGCCTTCCTTTCTTTATCCTTTGTCCTAGTCCCCACGGAGAGCCTTGGGTACCTTCCGAAGATGAATGTTAACGCCTACGACAGATTTTGCTCACGCCGGAAAATCCGGTGCTCTCGGGATCTCCCAGAGTGTTCCACCTGCAAGGTGTAGGTAGAGGAATCTGATCTGGAGAGGGCAAGCATCTAACGAAACTATGACGAGGTTTATTCTAGGCACAAGCAAACCTGCTCGTATACCAAATCAACTGCTTCAGACTCCAATGCATTAAGAGCCGTCTCGTCATCATCTCCGGCTGCTCACGAACCCAATCTCGTGCCAGACCACGACGAGAAAGCCCTGGCTACCATCCGCTTCCTGGACCATGAATTGTTTCTTCGCAGTCTTAGAGGGGCAACTCCATCCCTCCGAGTGGCGGTCTGCGTCCCTGGCTATGTAAAACAACTCGTTCTGGAGGGCAGTTTGTCTCAGAGAATCATGACAAGCTACTATCAGTCCGTACACCAATGGCTCCCTATTGTGTCCAAGAAGAAGGTGTACGAGCGGCTGCTCAACCCGCTGCTGCCCGCTCGGGTAGATTCGGCATTTTTGCTCCTTTGTATGAGTCTTCTGACATCCTCTTGCACCGGGATCCAAGATCCAGATGTTCTCCCCGAATATTGTGCTGCTATTAAATACTGCACTGAAATCCAGCGTAGTGGACTCATAACGCCTGAGGTTTTGCAGGGTTGCATTCTCCTGTCCGTTTACGAATGGGGTCATGCCATATACCCAGCTGCAGACCTGTCGATCAGCATGTGCCTTCGATATGCTCTATCTCTAGAGATGGGTTGGGAAGTTGCCCGAGGGGGAGGGGCGAAGAGCATGTGGGCAGATGGAGAAGAGGAGAGAAGAACATGGTGGGCTGTATACATTCTCGAAAGGTTTGTGCATCCCAATGAACTCTCCCCGTCTTGTGCGACTAACCGACCCTTTCTTTCCTCCTTTTCATAAAATACACGCGCTTCACCCATGTGCGCTCCCCTCTGTGCCTGTTACAAGTGTTGACTATACTATGTTTATACAGAATCGCGGGGCTAGGAAGGCCGCGACAAATCATGTTGGTCCCGGAAGCCGAGATGTCTGCAATACTCCCTTGCCACGACAATGACTGGGAAGACCAGAAAACGCCTGAGGCGTATTACACGCTGTCGTCTCCGCCGGAATCCCTGGGGCGGTACGCCAGCACCGTACAAGCCTGCTACTTGCTCAGCTGTGTATATCGTCACACATCAGATACATCTATATCCGTCAGCTCCCGACCGAGCGAACTTGATCAGCTTGACAAAACTTTAAGTGCCTTAATCCAATACTCTGCTGAGACACAGACTGGAGGTATATACTCCATACTGTGTTACCAAACCGCTGTCTCGTTTTGGTCAGTGAGCCTGGCCCGAGTGCCTTAGGTCCTTTCCCTTTAAGAAGGCCTTTTTTATCTTTCCTTTTGTATCGCTAATCATGGGAGCAATAGCGCAATCCTGACTCTCTATGCGCCTTATCTTCAGAAAGATGAGCCTAGCGAACTCCAGCAACGCGCGAAGCATGCTTCAGAGAACGCAGCATTGGTTGCATTGAGCGTAGCCCAGGGGTATCTTGACAAAGACCCGACGTCTCTTGGGCACGGCGACATCCCGCCCTTTATGATTCCATGGCTATACCTGGCTGGGATTTGGTTCATACGCGAGAGGTCAGTGAGTGAGCTTAGTATAGTTCGCGACGCATTAAAACGAATTGACATCAAGTGGAAATCTGCTGGTGGGTTTGCTTCGGCCCGTCACACATCATCAGCATTGGTCGCCGATTCACTGACATATGGAAACTTCAGGACGGTACCTTGAATTTTTAAGCGCCAGGGAGGCAATCATGCACAGTTAACATACATAAACCCGGACAAGTCAAAAAGGCGGAAGAAGCAGAGGTTAACAGACGCAATGCCGTCGAAACGCAGGCTGTGCTTCGAATAAGGTCGTCGGTTACAATAGCCCTCCGACATGCATCAAAATTCCACCACCACTTTTCCAAATGCCTTCCCGCTTCGAAGATAGTCAAGTGCCTCCGCAGCTTGATCAAACTGGAAAATTCGATCAATGCATGGTGTAAGGGTCAATTCAGTAGCATTGAGAAATTCCACGAACTCCTCCAGATCACTTTTTATCCCAACACGGATCCCCCTGAGGATAGATAGATGTTGATTAGCCAAATAGTTTCATGGAATGGGACATATGAAAGGGTGTAAGAGCTTACACAATGCTACAGGCCTTCATTATGAGCATGTTGACCAACTCGCCAAGATCTCCTTGACTTTCGGTGGTCAGCAGCCCGACTTGTGACACTTGGCCGCCTTTCCCAACAGCAGCCACGCTCTTCAGCAGAGTGGCAGCCCCGCCTTGCTCAACCACAAGGTCAACACCTCGGCCATCGGTGAGTTTCAGTACCTCACTTTCCCAGTCGGGATATCTCTTATAGTTGATCGTATGCCACGCTCCTAGTCCCTTGACTCGCTGGAGTTTTTCATCCGAAGACGACGTAACTATGACTTTTGCCCCGGCCTTTGCAGCCAGAGTCAATGCGAGAATGCTGACTCCTCCGGTCCCTGCTGTCCGCGTCAACTATGTGATCTGTACAGTGTCTGGACTAACCCTGCTGCCATCTTCAGTCTGTTTCTTACCTTCGATAAGCACTGTCTTCCCATACAAGCGGGAGGTCATCTTCAGTGCGGACCACGCAGTCAGACCAGCACAGGATATCATGCTTGCCTGTGTCCCCCATTATCAGCTCAAACTGTTTTTATTGCTCAAATATTCCGTATGCCTACCTCAGTCCATGCTAAGTAGTCGGGAATATTGACAATAGCGACCTCCGGGAGGACAATGTGTTCAGCCAGAGTCCCATCCACATTGTGCCCCAAGGCTTAGCGTGTGTTAGCGTGGGTTTTATCTTTCGCGCATTCAATCCGGAAAGGACTCAGTGAGTGCATGGCCGAGCCAGATAAACAGATAACTCACCCCTCCAGGTTGTTTCTCGCCCTGTGATATCCTCAAGGTTGATAAGCGACACGACCCTATCTCCAACCTGCATATTTGTCAGCCCATGGGCTCATTTGTCTCCAAATTTCACGCGCTAGAATGGTTAAACAACATTGAGTGACCGTATTTTCTCGCCAATCCACTCGACCTCTCCGGCAAACTCTGTTCCCACGATCCCTCCAGTTATGCCTGGCCAAGGCAATCGACCGTCAACAAGAGCCACGTCTTTCCAGTTGAGTGACACAGCTCGAACGCGGATCAAGACGTCTGTAGGCCCGCGCGGAGGTAGAGCTTCTTCGCAGAATTCGACATGGCCGAATGCTGCTCTGCGGAGGGCTTTGCGTGTCTCAACCATATCTGCAGCGATATGCGACACTATATGGGGAAATGGTGATGTTATCAACTCGGCTGCGAACTGTCTGGGCGGGTTACAGTCTCTTGAGCTAGCTTATATTCATTTTCCATTTCGTAAACCCTTTGTCTTCTATTCTATGGGTCTCTTCGAGGGCCAATTATTATGGTATAGCGAAACATCCATTGATCTCTAAGCAAAAATCAGCAAACTCCACCAAATAGATTATTGTAGATACAACCTGGCTCCGGTTGAAGTATCTCTGAGACTACAGGTTAGAGCGATCAGCCTAACCTCCCAGGGAATGTCGGGATTCGGGCGAGATTTCCCGTCGACGGGGAATATTCCCGTGTAGGCGGGATTGCCTCCGTTAGCTCCGTATCTTCCGCGGACGCTAAGAAATTTCATGCGAGTAATTCCACAGCCTGCTTGGAATAGGGCGTGCTCAGCCAGAACCACATTCATTCATTAATCAGCATAAGGGGAACACGCGATGGCCCGATGACAAACCTATTGGAGATATATCGGTATAGCTAAAAAATTGGAAGCGTATGCTTACCAAATCGCCTTCTATGGCTCTTGTATAAGTGCGAGGATATATAACGGAATAGACGTAGTCCTCACTTAAGTTGAGGAATCCAAATGTTTCGGTACTCAATAATTGGGAGTTAGATATCTTGACTTTCAACTCTCTTCTCAAATTGTTACCACCATTAGCCGTACCCTCTCCAAGCAGCATAAACAATGGCAACTTTCACGCAAAAATTCCGCACGACTTCGTATCCGACCATCTCATCTCACAATCCGCTGAATTCACAAGTCGGACGAACTGTGCTTGTCACAGGAGGTTCAGATGGGATTGGCTTCGCTATTGCCTCTGCTTTCGCCAAAGCCGGAGCCTCGCGTGTGATAATTCTCGGCCGCCGTCAGGAAGCACTTCGAGTTGCTGCGGATAAACTAAATGCAGCACGAAGCAGAAACGAAACCGTCATTATGACTTTCGCCTGCGACATCACCTCTCTGCCGAGCATCGAGTCCACATGGCAGTCGATTGCGGCAGCGGGAATCGCTGTCGATGTCCTCGTGCTAAACGCTGGGAATGTCAAGTTTGGACTAGTTTCCGAGGATATAACAGCAGCCTGGACAGCATTCGAGATCAATGTGCTTGCAAACTTGCGGGTTGCTAAGCTTTTCTTTGGCCAAATCGTAGCGTCAAGTGGGAAGAAGGTATATAATATCGGCTAACTCTTGGAAATAATCTCTAATCGATATGGACAAGATACTTATTAATATCTCGACTTGTTCCATACACTCGAGCCCCGCCCCTTTTCAGGCAGCCTATGCAGCGTCGAAGATTGGGTTCGCAAACCTCGTGCAGAACCTAGCAGATGAGTTGTCTGTGGATAAGGCGCAGATAGTCAGCATCCACCCAGGCGCTGTGTTAAGCGAAACGGTCCGAGCAAAGGGATATGATGAGAATTCGCTCCCTTGGGATGATGGTAAGTTCTGATTTGATGGTCTGCACTTGAAATTGGATACTAAGGGCGCTTTCTTACAGCGAGTTTGCCAAGTGATTTCTGCGTGTGGCTTTCCACAGATTCCGCAAAGTTTCTCCACGGCAAGTTTGTATGGGCGAATTGGGACGCAGATGAACTCCTGGAGAGGAAGTCTGAGATCAAAAGCAGTCCTGGTATGCTGAGGATTGGACTTCAGGGAGCCGGCTTTCTGGATGTGACTACCATGTTTGACCAGATCAAAGATAGGGTGGTGCGTAATTAAACATTCTTCATGTGATAATGGCCAGACGACAGTGAGGATTAGAGGTAGGCGGTTTAGTGCGACGAGCTAGCATCTATATATTAGCATAGACAAGCTCTCCAACGGATGAACCTCTAGGCTTAGGTTCATGCTAGCGGGCGGTTAGGTCAGTAACAGGCAATTATCATTTAGGTACCCGTTGGCTCCACTTCTAGTGACTAACTTAAAGGCAATAGCCTTTAAGTTAGGCCGGAAATCCCTAAAATACTTAGAAAATTAAAATACCTTGATTTATAAGGGAAAGGTACTAAATTTAAGGTTATTTTCTTTATTATTATATTATTAATAATTTTTTTTATAATAAAAAATATAATTAATTAATTTTTATAAATTTTATATTACTTTAAAGTCCTTTATTATTTTTATAATACTTTTATATAGTATTTTTAATAATATTTTTAACTTAGGTAAAGTTAATAATAATAGTAAGCTATAAAAATCCTTTTTACTATTAATATTATTATTAAAGTTATTAGTAAAATTAAGTAATATTTTTTATATAACTTTTTATATTTCTTTTTATATAGCCTTATAATTTTTATTATTAATATTACTAAAGGGCCTTAGTATATTTACTAAATTATTTATTTTAATACCTTAAGAACCTCTCCTAGGTACAGAGGATAAACTGCCTAACTAAGATTAGAATAATAGGTTGCTATTAAACCTTTGTCTAGCAGCTATTGGCTAGTGCTCTGCTAATTCTTTTACTCAGCAGTAGCCCAGCTAATCTACGTCTTCTCTTTCGTAGTCAGTTTAGGTTGCCCTCTTTTGCCTTTTTTATTCTTCAGGCTCTGGCAGACCTTCTCTGCGGCGCTGATAACGTCCTTATTGCGAGTTTTTGTAGCAGCAGCTATTATCTTAGCCGTGGTTGCAGTCGGTTTCTTATTGCCTTTAGCCATTGTGGCTGTTTGTGGTAGACGTGTGTTGGCTGTTGACTTGTCTTTAGTTGTTGAAAGGGTTTATTGCTTTTGTAGTGCGTTGTCTTGTCGGGTGGTCTTTTGTGTTGCGTGCGCAATTTATTTTTAGGCAGGATTGTTGCTGCCTTTTATAACCTGACGGAAGGATCAGGCCTATCTGGTCTGGTTGAGTTATTAAACTATAAGTCGCGGGGCTTAAAGTCAGTTGCGTTATATTTAAACCTTATTGTTTAGGCTGTTTTACATATGTATTTTAAGTTTGGTCTTAAACCTTAATTAGCGGCTATACTTTGTAGCCTGAATTTTCGAGGTTTAACTTAGTTAGCTGTAGCTAATTAGGTTAGGCTATGGATTAATTCTAGATTTTAAACTAAAGGCTGGGGCGTAGCCTTCCTCTGACCTAGCTATTGCAGCTTTACTAACCTTTTTTAAAATAAATATAACCTCTATACCTTAAGAATACTTAAATATTTACTTAAGAATATATAGTTTAGTTAAGGTTTATTATATAATTTTCTATATATATAATAATTATAATTTTATTATATTAAAGAAAAAAAGGTTATTTTTATAATTAATAAAGTAATTATATTTTTTATTTTAAGTCTTAAGGATTAGGAATTTTTTATTTTTTTTTTATAAATGAAAGTTATACTTTTTTTATTATTCTTTTTAGCTTAATAACTTATTAATTAGCTTAAGCTTTTTAATATAGCTTTTAAAGTTATTAAAGCTTAAGTTTAATAACTTAATAGCCTTTTTATTATTATACTTTTATTATTTTTTTATTAGTTCTTTTTAGTTTATTATTTTATTATTAGATTTAACTAAGGCTTATAACTATATAAAAGTCCCTAATTAATTAAATAAAATTATTATATTTTTTATAACTTAATAATTTCTTAATATATTAATTTTAATTTATTATAAAGTTATTAATATATTTTTTTAAAGTATAAGTTTTTATAATTATAAAGCTAGTTTAATAAAAGCTTTTATAAGTTAAGGAGTTTATTAAATTATTATATTTCTTATAGGCTTTATAAATTAAAATTAAGGCTTAATAAAATTATATTTTTTTAAGTAAAAAAGTTAAAACTACTAAATTAATAGCCTTTTGCTTTTTTTACTATTATAAATATACCTTTATAGTTAATAGCTATATATTAAGAGGGAAAATACTAGTTTATTTAAATCCTAAGAGAATATTATATTTTATAAAACCCTTTTTATATATAGCTTAAAAAGCTATTAAAAAATCTCTTTATATAAAAGCTAAGTTACTATTAAATAGTAATTTCTATAGTATCTTTTAATAAATATACTTAAAAAGTTAAAAAATATTAATATTAAAAGATTAAAGAATATAAGTTAAATATAATAAAAATATAGTAATATATAATAAGCTAAGCTCTTATAGGGTTAATATAAAAGGAATTCCTAAGGGATAAACCTTATACTAGGTTTATATTAGTAAATAGACTAGGCTAGACTAGTAGGTAATTAATAAAAATAAAAGGTTTATTTATATAATTAATAAATAATACTTTATAAATATAATTAAGTATTATTTTATATTTATAACTAATTATTTAAATTATTTTAAATAAATATTATAAAATAAATATATAATATAAAGTTTACTTAAGCTTATTTATTTTAAAGTAAGTTAGTTTCTTAAATAAAAAGTAGCTTACTTTAGCTTATTTACTATTATATAAGTTATACTATAATTAATTTTTTAGTTTATTATAATTTTATAATACTTACTTTATAAACCTATTATTATAATTATAAATATATTAGCTTATAATATAATATTCCCCTTTTATTAATTTTATTTTTAAAGCTCAAGTTACTTTTTATATAAGTATTATAATTTTTTTTATTCTTTAAGTAAATACTTTTTCTTTTTTAATTATTATTATATTTAATTAAGTAAAAAAGCTTAAATTTAAGTTTATAAAAAAATATTATTTTTATATAACTTTTATTTATTCTTTTAATTTTAAAGTATTACTTTATTTTTATTACTTAAATAAATATTTTTATTTAATTATTAAAAGTAATAATATATATATTTATTATTATTATTTAAGTTATTTATATAATAGTTTTTTTATTTTTATATTTTTTTATAAATATTATACTTTTTCTTAAGTATTATTTATATTAATATTTATTTTTTAATTAATTATATTATAAAAAAGCTTAAATAATTAAAGTATTAGAAAAAGCTTATAAAAGAAGTATTAATTACTTAATAAAAGTATTATAAAGAATTTCTTACTTAGTAAAAGGTAAAATATAATAAGGCTTTAGTTTATTTTATAAAGTTATAAAAGTTTTATTAATTACTTTATATTTATAATATAAAAATAATAAATTATAAATTAAATATTAAAAAAATAAAAAAAGTAAATTATTAAAAAAAAAAGAAAAGTAAATTAAGCTAGCTTATATATAATATAAAAAAGTATAATTTTTTTATAAAGTATAATTTATAAATAAAGTTAAGTAGTTTTCTTTAAATATTAATTTAGTATTTTTAAGTTTAAATTCTTTTACTTTATTAAACAGTATTTTTTTTTTTTTTAAGTTTTATAAAGTATTTTAGTTTTTTTTATATTTATTTTTATTTTACTTATAATTATTTATAAAATTTATTTTAAAAAGTTTTTAAAATAATATTAGTATATTTAAAATTACTTTTTAATTTTTAATTATTTATATTTTTATTATAACTTTTTTATTTTATTAAGTATTAAAGTTTATTAATTACTTTATTCATTTTTAGTAATATTATTTTATTAACTTTATATTTAAGTTTTTTACCTTTAATAATAATTTTATTTTTAATAACTTCTTTTATATTTTTATTTATTAATACTTTTTTTAATAATAAAATATAAAAAATTAAGTATATTAATTTTCCTTATTTATTTAGTTATTTTAAAAAATCTAGTTTATAATTAACTTTACTAATGTTTTTTAAAATTTTATAAAGCTTGATTTCTTTATAATTTAGCTTATTATTTAGCGTATTTATTTTAATATTAATTTATTTTTTTCCTTAAGTATATTAAAGTAAGTAAATTATATTTTCTTCCTAAAGGATTAATTCTTTAAGCTTTTTCTTATTTATATATTTTCTTATATATTTTTATATAAATTTAAGTTATATATATAGTTTTTAATATAATTTTTTAAGTTTATTTACTTTAAATATAATTTTATATTTTTTTTATAATATTTAATATATTTATAAATAATATTCTTTATAAATATAAAATAGTAATAGTTTAATTAATTTTAAAACTAAGTTATTATAAAAAAATTCTATATTTAATAAGTATTTAACTTAATTATTTTAATTAAAGTTAATATAATTTTATAAATATACTTTAATAATTTAGTTAATATATTTTATTTATTTATTTATTTATTTAAGGATAGTAAGTAATATTAGCTTTATAATTTATTTTTATTTTTACTATACTTTATTAATATTTAAATATAAATATTAATCCTTTATTAAAAATAATTTTTATAAGTAATTTATATTTTAAAGCTATATATTTTTATATTATATAGCTTAATTCTTTTATTATACTTTCTTTTTTATATAAAATAAAAATACTTTATTTTATTAATTTATTAATAATAATAAAAATACTATTATATATTATATATATTATAAATTCTTTTAATAATAGTAGTTTAATAATATAATTAAATAAAATAAAGCTTCCCTCTTAATAATAAATATAACCTTTATAATTATTATAAAAAGGAAAAGAAATTTTATTTAATAACATTTAAAAAGTTTATTTTTATAATAATACTTAGTAAATATATTAATATAACGTAGGTTTTAATAATAAAAGTAAAAGTAATTAAAATTAATATTAATAATTTAATATTATAATTATATAAAAAACCCCTTAGGTTTATATTTTTTTTTATAAAAAAATATTATAAACTTTAAGTTATAAAAGTAATAAAAAAGTATTATAAAATTATTATTATATTTAACCTTTTATTTATATTTATTTTAAAAATATAAAAAAAAAACTTAAAATAGTAACTTACTTATAGTAAAAATAAAGTAAATATAAAGCTTAAACTATACTAAAGCTTTTATATATTTAATACCTTTAATAAAAAAAGCTAGTTATAGAGTTTAAAAAAAAGTATTATTAAAAATATTAAGGTAGTACCTTAGAAAAAAGGGTAATATATTAAAGTCTATTTTAAAAAAGTATAGTTATATAGTACCTATATATTAACTATATTATAAAAGTATAAGCTAAGGGTTATAAAACCCTTAGCTTAATAATAATACTATAAAAAACCTATAATTTAAGAAAGGAATAAAGAAAGGCAGAAATAAAGATAATTACCTTACTACTATATACTTATGTATTTATAATATAGCTACTTTATAATTATCTTTTATCCCTTTTTACTCTCTTTTACTAACTTAACTTCTAATAGTATAATTATAATATATATAAAAATTAAATATATTTTTTTTTAAAAATATTTAAAATATTAGTTAAATATTATTTACTTTTTTATAAAAATTAATTTAAATTTTATTAAAATTTATACTTATAGCTTTTATAAAGTTAAATAATTATTTTTATTAATATTAATAAAAAGTAATTAAAAGTAAAGTAAAAAAAAGTAATATTTAATTATTATTAATTTTTTTATATTTTATTATAATAATTTTATATATTTAAGTTTATATATAAATTATTATTAAATAAGTTTTTTTTATATTCTTAAAGGGTAGCTTAAGCTTTCTTTTTATTAAAAGTTTATATATAAAGTTATTTAAATAAAAAAAGCCCTTAGGTAAATATTATTATATTTTTAAAAATTAATAAAATTATAAAAATAATTATAATATAAGTTTATATAATTATTAGCTTAATAAATAATAAAAAGGTTATATTAGCAAAAGCTTAAGTATATTTTATTATTAAGTTATATACTTTATCTACTCCCTTATAAATAAGCCTTTAACCAGTAGATTAGTAATTAAGTAGGTAACTATTAGCAAATACCAGCTGCTATATATTTCTTTTTGTATTTTTTCCTATCTGTTTTTTCTTTGTTTTGCTCCTTTGCTTCTGTTTGTGTGCCCTTATGCTGCCAATCGACCATGGTGTTTCAAATTTCAGGGAGGGAAGGTATTTTTTGCACACCTGGGTAGTGTCTTGCAAGAGTGGACCACCGACGCAATCTTATTTCTACCAGCTACAGCCGTATGTTTTGATTTGCGTTCCAAAAAAAAAAACTGTTACTCAGCTCCAAAGGTTAATAGTAATACATGATTGCTTCAGAATCTGCCAAGTATGTGATATGTTGATGGGTGTCTCAGGGATGCCACCCGGCCGAGTTCACATATAGAAACGACATGAAGCAGAAGAAAAAGAGAATCCCAGTCTTTGGATGGGAATACACCTTACAATTCTCCAGCAAAGCCTCCATTTGCAGCGAAACGAAGCTGGTATTCCCTCAAGTCGGCCCAGTGTCGCAGCTCTTCTTCCTCGTCTTCCGCCGTCATCTGAAGCGGGTCTGGTGCACGAGTCTCTCCCACGGGACCTGTCTTTTCGAGCTTCATTAGGACTTCAAGGAGCTGAGAGAGAGCCTCTTCTGACTTGATGGCAAACGGCCCCTTCCTTTCAGGGGCATCGTTTAGGAGCGTGGACGCAACCTGACGAATCTTGTTGATGAGGGATCCTCCATTGGGTTCGAGATTTCGTTGCGAAATAGATCCTAGCACCGTCAAGAGGTTTTGGACAATAATCTCTCGCTCAGCAGACATGAATTCCAAAATCTCCTTGTCATCTTCTTGAATAGCTTTCTCCTCTTCACTTGTACCCTCGACTTCGAGAGTTTGTTGCTGCTCGCTTAGATGGACGTCTCTCAAGTTGAAGTAGAGCTCCACGAAATATGATCTTGTAGCCAGTTGCGATACAAAAATGTTAGCTTTTTGTATCTCGTACTGAAGCTGACGGCGCCTCGTAGGTTGCGTTTTGATGATGTTGCGCACATCATGTGGTGGCTGCGTGTTGGGCCACACTGGTGGCACGTACTGGAGGCCGGAATCCTCCATGCCAGCCAGAGGATTTGTTTCGTCTCCGGAATTGCCCAGCTGGAGCTCTGGTGGCAGATTATCAATGATGCTTTTGGCAGCCAAAAGACCATCCCTAAGTAGGAGTCGTTGGTCCGCCCAAGGAAGAGTGCTCATGCCGTACGCTAGCTCCAGGCTGACGACGCCATTCATGGTTGTGTAGATATCAATACCGAAACGGAATCCAGTAAGAAGCGTCACACTACCCTCTACTTGGTGAATGATTTCATTTGCAAGAACGCAAATGTCATCTACGTTCTCGGGATATGCAGGATAGGGAAGGCTGGGGGTTGATGGGGCAATAACGATATCGGTATGGGATGCGCCGAGCTGCGAGAACGAGCTATAGATGAAGTTAGCGGGCAGTTGATAGACAAAGAGAGATGAGCATGAACAAGAAGCCTTACCGAACGCCTAGCAGCAGGCACCAAAAGATACGCTTGCCAATCTGGTCCTTAACGTGATTGAACGGCATCGAGTCAGGAGCAAAGCTGTCACTCCCAAAGGTAGGCAGTTCTCCGGGGTGCTTGGGCCTGCTAAAGCCGAGTTCTCTGAGCAGAGTCAGAGTTTCGGCCATGAAGTGGCGAGATGCATTCCACTGCAAGGTGTAACCGGAAGCCAATCCAAGAAAATAGCTGGTGGCAGCGTCGTCCAGCGTTTTGGGTTGTTTTAAAACCCATCTGCTCCCACGCGTGAGAAGGGCAATGTCACGACATTTTTCAATCATGACAATGGCCTTGGGGAACAAATGCGTGCTGTGCTGCGCCTTGAGATGCTCTCTCGCACTGCGCGGAAACGATGCGACCAAAGTACCAATCATGCTGGCCAATAATCCCAGGAACTCAGGCTTCAATCGATCCTCTCTATTCGCAAAGGACTGTCGAAAGGTTGGCTCGTGGGGAAACGGCGCAAGCGGATGTATGTATGTAAAGAAATCATCCACCAGGAGCTCCAACACAGGCATTGGCGCAATCGCCTCTGCATCCAAGACACCATCCGTCGATATGGTCATGAGCGTCTTGGCAGCATTCTGAGGCGATGGAGACGAGGGGAAGCCAGGAGGGGCAACAGCCTGGTCGATGCGAGCTCTCTTAGCCGCTTTGGCAGCTTCGGCATGCTTGTTCGGCGGTCCGCGTCTCTTGGTCTCGCGATTGAAGGTACAGTCAACGCCCAGCTCGCGGCAAGGGCGACAAGGCATGTTAGAGTCGTCGCACTTGACCTTGCGCATGCTGCACATGTCACAGGCGCGTCGAAGTCGCGTCAGCTTGGGGTTAATGGTGGGATCCCGCATGACGCCTCCCGGCCCGGCCACGAGATGCTGCTGAAGCTGTCCCGGCGCCAGCTCGGGCGCGGGCGCGATGGGCACGCCGACAGCATGGGACTGAGCTACCGCTTCGGCAGCGGCATTCTGCAGAGGATGGTGATTCTGGATGGCCTGAGCAGCATCGCTGGCAGCCTGCAGGATCTCCAGCCCGTTGCTAGCGTAGGCGTGGGCTGTAGCGTGCTGCGACGGCGACGGTGGGGGAGAAGCCGACATGGCGAAAACGACAGAGCGAGGCTGTTGTCGCGATGGCTGATTGTCGGCGGATTCCCGGATGTTGTGGGTTGTTGAAGCGAGGTGACGCCGATACCGAGACGCAAGCGAGAGGAAGATTGGGGATGGAGGTGCGAGATCACGTGATGTATCACGATTTGCCATCTGGTACAGGGTAGGTCGTACTCACGAGAAGTGGCATTCTGGCATTTGGGCATTCTATTCAACAATGATATAGGATTTTGATTCATTCTAAGGCAAATATGCATCTGTTTTATTGTCTGTTCATATAATCGTTCATCTCATCGACTTGTTCCGTGGGTACGAGCCTTTAGTTAACAAAGCTGCTGAAGTCGGTGTTTTACATATTTTGGACTCAAAAGTTTACTACCGAAATCGAAGCATGAAATCAATACCACTGTGACGGAAATATCTTGATCTACAAGAGACCATTTTTACTAGTTAAACAGTAGAGGCAATAGGCCATTTCTCTTACGTTTTCCTACTACCTAACAATGTATGCCTAGGGCTTCACCTTGTAGTATTCACAGCACATCACGGTTTCAACAGCAAAGCAGCACTAGTTGAAAAAGACGTTGCAAAATCCACGCGTAAGCTTGACGTAGTGGCCGTACAAACCTGCAACGTGCTTGTCATACTAGCGTCGTTTAGGAGGCGAACAGAATCGCTGTCAATGATTTTGACTACTCGCAGATCGGCTTCTGTGCGAGCCGATCAACGGCTGTCGTGACGCGCGACATTTTTTCTCCCTAGCTTCTCTCTGGTTGGAAAAAAGTCACTCGCATCCACATCTTTGTTGAGTGAAGGTGGGTAATATTGGATGCGCGCTTCAGAACAGCACGTGAAAAAAGCTCCATCCATCTCGCCATTGTTTCGGTTCTGTACTGTACAGCAGGTTCATTACGAGTGCAAGCTGTTGCTTGATCAGGGCCGCCATCGAGTTGCCGCCGCGTCAGAGATTTGAATTTTATGAAGGATCTAGATATTCAAAATCGTTGTAATGACCTAGAAGTGCATACTGTACTCGTAGTATTTGTGTATCTGACAGGACATTCTGCTCCGACGTTTTGCTCCGGAGCCTCTGCATCATTAGCAACATGCTTCTACGCACAGCTGTGGGTATTTTAGCGGCATGGCTGTCAGGGACGGGCGGGATCGGTGACAGGCAGCAACACTTCCAACCAAAGTGTAAGCACAAGTAGCCTCCTCGGATTTTCTTTGTTATAGGAGGGTAGCTATCCAAATTGACACCGTGTTGAGCCGGTGTAATTTGTCCATGTGTAGCGTTGCATCCAACAGTTACTCCGTGCCTGAGCCCACATGCAAGTATTTCAGCCTTGAAAGTTGGCAGCCATACGAGCACCAGACCCAGACACCAACCACATGAGCTGAAATTAACCAGAGAAATGAGATTATTTTCATGGGAGTCACATGCTGCGGATTTATTTACTGATTCACCGCCGCCCGTCTCAGGTATAGTTTACACGCACAAGCACAAGCTGTTTTCTCCTGAACGAGCTCCTTTTCCCTGGCCAGCAGCAAAAAGGGGTGGCCTTCATCGGCCTGGGGGAAGAAGCAATGGTCGCTCCCCCGCTGAGCTACTGCTACTCCGTACGGAGAATCTCCGCTGGGATCCAACATCCAACCACAGCCTCGCTATTGCATGCAGTCGTGGGTGCTACTCCGTATTGCCTTTTACTTGGTGAATAGCCATGAACCATTCGGCCCCATTCGCCATATTTCGTTTTCCGAGGCTTGTGCTGGAACTGCCTTAGTGCTGCTCCACTGCCCAGGTTTGCCAGCCAGCTTCATTTCATTAGCACTTGCTAGCTTTCTAGAGGTCATAGACTGCGTGCTGGCGCCCACGTCCGTCGTCGGTGCAAGCAGGGCTTCTGTATTCGAGGAAAGTCGAATACGCGTTGAAGGCCACAGCAGAGTTGTCAGCGCCTACCGAGGTGCCCGACGGGTTTTCGTAGACAGACAAAGAGGCACATTCAAAGCAATGCCTAGATTTTCATTCGGCCCGAGAGGTCTTTATGAACAGCCTTCCTGAAAAACCCCCTCTTTGAGTGAATTTATGGACGGACGTGCTGAAGAGAGCAGCATCTGGTTGGGTGTGAAGGCGTTTTAACGGTTGCGTGCGGGCTGAGGTTGTGAGAATCTCGACAGTGTTGCACCGTGTGCCATTAATAGATTAGGTAGAGCTTGGCCCTCTCTTTGTACGCGCAGCACAAGTACTACCAAGGTACGGAGCATACCTACCTAGCTTGATATGTGTATCCATCTTCTTTGCAATGGTAAAATGCCCCTCAGTAATGTTAATGTCGCCCCGGCTCGCAGAAAGCTGTAGAACAAGCTTCGAACGAGCCACGGCTGACAAGGGGCCACGACCCGCTGCTGGAGCTCCCGATAGGGCGACGGCACAAGTCACAGGTCATGGACTCGAGTTCAAGGGAATTGATGGAAAGGAGATAACGTTGCGACGCCCCCAGAGCACGGAGTACTAGTATCGCTGTTAAGCCACACCTTTTTATCGTCCAAGTGTCAACGGTTCCCTCTTGCTCTTTCTCCCTGCAACCTCGCCCATTCACCAGCAGCGAAGCGATTTGAATTTTGAACTCTTCACGTATCGATACGAAGCACGGAGTTCGGAGTGCCTTGCGCCGATACACTCCAGGTCCTCTCAGCGAACATCCCCTTGACTCCTACAGCCTCCCTTTTCCTTTATCGTGCAACATCTCGGGCTGGCCAGGGCAACTCGTACTACGAGAGCTTAGCTGTTACTGTGCCCTTCACGCAAAAGCACCCCGCCATCGCATTGAGGATTCCGCACCAGGTATCAAAAGCGTTTAGTACCAAAGTAAGATACCTGCCACCCAACGCCCACTTCCGCCTGTTTGCCAGCAGCTGACTTTGTACCCCTCCCCCTCCTCCAGACTTCCTCGAGACATTGAAGCTCTACAAAACCACCAGAATCATCCTCGTTCTTTGCGCGCAACGGCACAATGGCGCGCCGTGAGTCTCTCTCAGAGATTCGCGCAGCCAACCCCGAGCTCTCCTTGACTGGCAACATCATCTCTGCGACCTTCAACATCCCCCATGCTGTGACATACCACAAGGGCGGCGCTTGGGTGAGTGCATTTCATTTCGAGCTTGACTTTGCGGCTTCGAGGAAGAGGCAAGCCCAGAGATGTGAAGCTCTGCTGCGCAGAACGCATAGTGTTTGACGCCGACGCCAGCGAGCTTTCCCGACTCTTCGCTCTTCTTGACCTCTTGGCCCTTTTTCTTCTGATTCTTTTTCCTTCTGATTGAATATTTTACCCTCCCATCACCCAACTATGAGCATCTTTGATATTGACTCGCTTCACAATGCAGGATCTGAAGCCCCGCCGTGGTCAGTCGGCCCTCATCGACTCTTTCGCCTATCTCTCGTCTGATGCGACGCCATGGAATCATACTGTTGTCGCCTGGACAGGCGAGATTGGACAGCCTGACGACGACCCGCTCTCTCCCCCAGACACCCCTTCAGCTGCGGCTACCGCTGTCACAGCCGTCAGTTCGCTGTCGGCTCCCGTCCCGATCGATGCTACTACGCGATTGCCTACACCTCCCCCAGTCGATGGACTCTGGGTCCCTAAGGGAGACCAGACGCGCCTGGAGCAGCAGCTGGCCCATAGCAAAACCATTCGCACCGTGCCTGTCTGGCTTGCAGACGAGAGCGAGGCCACCGACGATGGCATCATGCTCAAAGACCAGGCTCGCTGGAGGCGCTATGCTGAGCATGATCTCTACACACTCTTCCATTACAAGCAGCACGAGCCTACAGATGGCCGCAAGGAACGCGCCCAGTGGGCAGATTACTACCGTATGAACCAGAAGTTTGCCAACAAGATCATTGAGATCTACAAGCCTGGTGATGTCGTCATCGTTCACGATTATTATCTTATGCTATTGCCTAGTATGCTACGCCAGCGTGCTCCCAAGATGTACATCTCCTTCTTCCTCCACTCGCCGTTTCCCAGCAGCGAATTCCTTCGATGCCTGCCTCGCCGCAAGGAGGTGCTCGAGGGCATCCTTGGCGCAAATCTTGTGGGATTCCAGTCGTACAGCTATTCGCGCCACTTCCTCAGCTGCTGCACTCGCATTCTCGGCTTCCCATCTGACACCCTTGGCATCGATGCGTACGGCTCCAGGGTACAGGTCGGAGTCTTCCCCATCGGTATTGATGCCGACAAGGTAGAAAGCACTGCTTGGGCGGATACTGTCAATGAGAAGCACGCCGCGGTGCTGAAGATGTACGAGGGCAAGAAAATCATCGTCGGCCGTGATCGCTTGGACAGTGTCAGAGGCGTGGCTCAAAAGCTTCAGGCCTTTGAGCGCTTCTTAGAAATGTACCCTCACTGGAGAGAAAAGGTGGTTTTGATCCAGGTCACATCGCCCACCAGCGTCGAGGCTGAGAAGGATGACCCGGAGAACAAGAATGCCAGCCGAGTCAACGAGCTCATCATCAAGATCAATGGTGAATATGGCAGCCTCGGCTTCTCGCCGGTGCAGCATTACCCCCAGTACCTCAACCAGGCCGAGTATTTCGCCTTGCTTCGTGCAGCCGACATTGGCCTCATCACGTCGGTGCGCGATGGCATGAATACGACCAGTCTCGAGTACATTGTTTGCCAAAAGGACAACAACGGCCCTCTCATTCTTTCGGAGTTTAGTGGAACAGCGGGTAGTCTCCGCGATGCAATCCACATCAACCCCTGGGATATCACGGGCGTGGCGGAGAAGATCAACGCGGCACTGACCATGTCTGTCGAGGAGCGCACCAAGATGCAGACTAGCCTCTACAGCCACGTCACTACGCAAAATGTGCAGTCGTGGATCACCAAATTCGTTCGCAAGGTGCACTCTGTGCTGGCCGAAACCAACTCGAGCAAATCAACGCCCTTGCTTGATCGTGCCCTCCTGCTGTCTCGCTACCGCTCTGCATCGAAGCGCTTGTTCATGTTTGATTACGACGGCACCCTGACGCCCATTGTACGCGAACCAAGCGCTGCGGTGCCCTCGGAGCGCATCATCCGGTACCTGAAGTCCCTTGCCGCGGATACTAAGAATTCGGTTTGGATTATCTCGGGCCGAGACCAAGAATTCCTCCAGCAGCACCTTGGCCACATCCCCCAGATTGGGTTCTCCGCTGAGCATGGTAGCTTCATGAGAGACCCCGGTAGCGAGGAGTGGATCAACCTGGCGGAGAAATTCGACATGGGCTGGCAAGCAGAAGTCATGGAGGTATTCCAGAGATACACGGACAAGGTTCCAGGTGAGTTACTGATTGATTTAGAGTTACCATAACGAGTACACTTTTGCTATTGGTAGAAAAAAAGAAGCTAACGCCCTATTCCTAGGTTCCTTCATCGAGCGAAAGCGTTGCGCCCTGACCTGGCATTACCGACTTGCCGAGCCCGAGCAGGGTCTACACATGTCACGCGAGTGCCACAAGGAGCTGGAAGCTGGAGTGGGCCAGAAGTGGGAGGTCGAAGTGATGCCGGGCAAGGCCAACATTGAGGTGCGCCCTACCTTTATCAGCAAGGGTGAAATTGCCAAGCGGCTGGTGGCCACCTATCACAACCCGGGAGCTGCCCCGACAGAGAAGGATCCGCACCCTGGAAAGATCGAGTTTGCTCTCTGCTCCGGAGACGACTTTACGGATGAGGACATGTTCCGCAGTCTCAACGGGGCATCAGGTACGATCCTGGATGATCAGCACGTCTTTACGGTTACTGTGGGGGCAAGCACCAAGGTGACGCTCGCCAAATGGCACCTGCTGGAGCCCGAAGATGTGATTGAGTGCGTGGGACTGCTGGCCGGTGCCGGCGACCCAGCCAGCCTCGAGCGTGTGGGAGAGGTGAATCTGGCAGCTCTCAGCACAGTAGAGGGACACATCCCGGCCGAGGAGCTGTGAAGAACGACTCCTCATCGCAATTTTTTTTTTTTTTGTTACTTTGCAGCATGTTTGTTTCATTGCAAACTACGGAGCTGTTGACCGAAAAAGTTGAGCTTCAACGAGATGTTGAAAGCTTTGGGAATTTCTTAACGATTGCACTTTGAAGATGAGAGCAGAAGGCTGGGATGTATAGAAACGGTAATAGAACGAAGGATGGCGCGTGGCGTACGGGGCTAGTAATAACCTTGAGGTGAAGAGTAACTGAGGATGGAAATGGAAAGCAAATACGGGACATAGGGGGCTGTGGCCATCCCGACGCATCTGAAACGGAAGACATTTGTCGACTGGCAAAGTACCTATAGCATTGGCCGTTTCATTTAGCACGGAATATAAGACAAAGTTTAAAACGACATGCTGTTTGAACGTGGCTGGCTGAATCGGTTCTCAGAAGAGGCATCGACGATCTTGCAATGGTATCGGCACTAATCAAGTATGCTGTGGCTTTCCAAGATATTGGGCATAAATTGAAGAATTGGGACAAGCAAGACAAGCTGAGCTGCGGACACAAGGCTAAGCATTGGCTAGAGCAGAGCCTCTTGTAGAGGTGGCTGCCACGAGAGGCGGCGCTTAAACGTTGTTTTTGACAGTGTCTTGACCACACTGTCGATCTAGGAATGCCACTCTGGCATTCGGACAGCGCCGCACGTGCGTGGCGGCAATAGGCGAATCCGACGGCGAATTACGAGGCAGATCTCTGCAATTGGAGGCTCAATTGAACTGTGCAACTGTGGAAATACCATGGTGGAGGCAAAGACGGGCTGAAACTCTCTGGCCTTTCTTCGGCAGCCCGACTTTTTTCTGTTTCCAAATAACTGGGGATTGTGGCCTTTTGCGGGATCCGGGTCTGTCACACGCCCGCTTGTCTGATTCGACCTCAAAGGGCCCTGTATGTCGTGTGATGGATGGCACAAGAATCTGGAGAAGGGCAGAATAGGAAAAGAGGCCGTTGAACTCTATTCCGGGGGACCCGAGGCGTATTGCGGGAGGTGGGATGGGAGGACGGATGGGGAGATGGGTGGTGATCTGGTGTTTATGCGTGATTGTTTTGTCAACTCTTGCATGACAAGATGGACCGTGACAGCGAAGAAGCGCCGCTGAATCAGCACCAGACGGATGAGATTTGCATATGCATACACAGAAAAGGGTCATGGGGACTATGCAGATTCCGAGCAACCGCGTTCTGTGGACGGGAAAGGACCGAAAGCAAGACATCTGCTGACTCGGAGCTTTTTCTTCTTCTGCTTCTTCCATTTCCTTTTTTTTTCTCTCTTCTTTTTTCTTCCCGCTGGATTATGTTATACGGGCCCCCGTGGATCCTTCTCCAGGCTTCTCTTGTCATGCCTTTGTCAGTGTCAGTCGACCCCAGCAGGGCAAAATGCAGTCGACTTAGTAACCAGTCCGAGCCAGTTTAGGCGTGCTTCGTAGGTTTTTAACCTCTTCATCTGTAATAGCTTCCTAATAATCTCCGCCCCGTTACCACGCGGCTCTTGTTCCGCATTGCCCAAACCCCCTGTTGATGCTACCATACTATCTTGACTATCAAGTTCTGCTGCTCTTGGCCGCTTGGGGGCCAGTGACAGATGATGCACCACCAGGACGACGTCATCGGCTGGAAGTGCCGAGGGCAGGCCGCCGGAAGAGACGGTGCTTGGCGTTTGCCCCACTTGCCGGCGCCGGGGCGGCAGATACGACGTCATGGGCGCGTGTGTGGGAAGGGGCGACTGCTGGGTGAGGGAAGGAGCTGGCGACACGAGAGAGGCTGGGAAGGCACCATGCTGTTCTGCTACTGCTGTTTTACTGTTTTACATTGTTAATTCTAATTCAGCTGAGACACATTGATGCAAATTGCGCGTATGGAATTGTGAGCGGCATCTTTCATGATGGGGGGATCTGCAAATGCGGCTTGTGCTGAATCATACGCATGTTTTAAGTCTCTGGAGTAAAAAAAAAAACAAAGAAAAAAGAAGAAAAAAATGGAGCCCGAGTATGCCGAGACATGTACCACCAAACAGGAAACTTCCGCATAAAGCAGCAGAAACAAGTCACTCCTGGTACTGTACGGAGTACTGGTGTACATAAGCTTTCTTCGGTGGATCTCCATTCTGCCTGGTGGGGACTCGGTCAATCGCGATTTTGCTCATCCTCATTCGTCTTCACCTCGCATTTTCCCTCGCCTCTCCCGCTCCCTCTCGGGGGTCACCGACCAATCGTGTCACGAGGCCGCCGCCCAAAAACCCGGATTCTTGTCCTGGTTTGTTTTGTCTTCCCTCTCCACAGCGAACTGGAGAAGGCAATGGAGAAAGTCTGGAGAGTAGGACCGAATTGGGCCAGGAGATTCTCGGTATGGTGGGAAGAGCGCCGCGGTTTGTCACCCAATTCGCCCTCTCAGCGGATTTTTTTTTTACCTCGCACCTGACTTGCCTCTGCTGTCGGCCGTCCCCAGGATTCGACTCGTTGGAGACTTCCCCGAGCCCGAACCCGTGGGGTGGGGAGACTTTCTCCCTCTTCCCCCTTGGGCGTCATGATCCGGGGCTAGCAACATGCCTCGAGATGCCTGCTCGTCCACCCACCAAACGGCCGGACTTGGGCCGGTCCCACGGTTTTCTTGGTCGTGACCATATGGCGTGGGTGTTTGGGCTGAATTAGGTCATTGGAGAAGGACCGGGCATCAGTGGCGGCCTTGGTCGTGTTGGAGAACATTTATACCCCAATGCCTCCCCCCCTCTCAGTTGACGATCTGTCTCAATATTGAAAAACAAGATACACTACCAGCATCACTACTACCTCATCTGCCACTAGGAGACCAAGCTCCCGGATCAGCAGCAACCTCCTTCTCAACTCAATTGACACGTCACCTCCTGCACACACACATATATATATATCCTACATACAGTCGCTTATACCTAAGCGATAGTCTCCAGCAGAGACAATCACCATTGCCATTCAAGGGCCTTGACACAGCAACACAAACTTCATAATGCGTTCTAGACGGGGCCGTTTTATGACCATCTACTTCGACCAGCATGACCCTGCGTCGGAGAAGCACAACCCCGACTTTGGTCGACCTTCAGTCTCTGGCCTGGACTATTCTCCTCTGCCACGTGTGACTGGACGGTCTTTCGCTATGGGTGTTTTGGTCTCAATGGGTGGACTGATGTAAGTTGTCGCTTTATTTGAGATGGAGCTAATGAACCAAGCTAACCCGTTCCTAGCTTTGGCTACGATACTGGTCAGATCTCTGGCTTTCTGGAAATGCCCGATTTCCTGGACCGGTTCGGTCTCACTCACTCTGACGGCACAAAATACTTTAGCAATGTTCGCTCTGGTCTCATCGTCGCTCTTCTGTCCATTGGTACTCTTATCGGAGCCTTGGTAGCTGCACCCATCGCTGATCGCGTTGGTCGTAAGCCTTCCATTTCGCTGTGGGCTCTGGTTGTATCCGTCGGTTTCGTCATCCAGATTGCATCTATAACGGCATGGTACCAGCTCATGATTGGACGATTTGTTTCCGGTCTGGGTGTTGGCGCCCTGAGTTTGCTTGTTCCCATGTACCAGGCCGAGACAGCACCCGCCTGGATTCGAGGTGCCATGGTTTGCGCTTACCAGCTCTTCATCACCATGGGCATCTGGCTCGCTGCCTGCTTCAACTACGGCACTGTCAAGCACCAGAGCGGCAACTCGGGCAGTTGGCGAATCGTCATTGGCCTGGGATGGATCTGGACTCTCATCCTTGGGTTCGGTATTCTACTCTTCCCAGAGACTCCTCGATACGACTTCCGACATGGACATGAGGAACGAGCTAAGCAGACCATTTGCCGTGTATTCGGTGCAACAGAAAACCACTGGGCTGTCCACACTCAGATTACAGAAATCGAGCGCAAGCTCCGCGCTGAAGACAAGATCCAGCTTGGCCCTGTCAAGGAGTTTATCGGCATGTTCCGAGCTCCCCGCATGGCTTATCGTATCGCCCTTGGTATGACTCTGCAGATGTTCCAGCAGCTTACCGGTGCCAACTACTTCTTCTACTACGGTACCACCATCTTCAAGTCGGTGCAGATCAACTCCTTTGTCACTCAGATCATTCTCAACAGTATCAACTTTGGTGTCACCTTTATTGGTCTGTACATGGTTGAGCATTTTGGTCGTCGCAAGTCTCTCATTGCCGGTTCCATTTGGATGTTCATTTGCTTCTTGATCTTCGCCTCCGTTGGTCATTTCATGCTTAATCTTAACGATCCATCGGCTACCCCCACACCCGGTGTTGTCCTCATCGTTTTCGCCTGTCTCTTCATTCTTGGCTTTGCCACTACTTGGGGTCCCATGATTTGGACCATTCAGGCCGAAATCTTCCCCTCGCGATACCGTGCCAAGGGTATGGCTCTCTCCACTGCCAGCAACTGGATCTGGAACTTCTGCATTGGTTTCTTCACGCCATTTATCACTGGCGCCATCGACTTCAGGTATGTGCACACTTTTCTTGACAAATCAAGATGATGTTGCTAACAGTTTATATAGATACGGTTATGTCTTTGCTGCCTGTAACTTTGTGGGAGCCCTCATCATCTACTTCTTCGTCATTGAAGGCCAGGGCCGCACCCTTGAGGAGATCGACACCATGTACCTCGAGCACGTTCTTCCCTGGAAGAGCAGCAAGTGGGTGCCACCTCCTCCCGAGCACATGGCCAACATTCGCAGAAAGGCCGGCGTCGACCTTGATGTCCTTGCCGACCAAGACAGCGAGAACGCAATTGCCAACGATCCTTCGGACAAGCATGTGACTCCCGAAGGCCCAGCTCACCAAGAACACGTTTAAAGAAAAAAAGAAGGATTATCTTGTAAATAACGCGGTTTATGATTATGTTGGATATTGATGATGGGAGATTGGATATACCAAGTTGATTTGTTGTAGGATAATGGCAGAAGCTGGGGATTCTTTAACCTAGTGTGTATTTTTGAACAAGCATATGAATTTAATTACTGAACTCATACTACCTACTCTCAAGTGACTGAGCCGATGCCAAGTTAATTACATGTCCGTTATGTCTAGTAAGCTGGCTTTACACGCTTCTTCGATGAAGGTATTCTCGGATTGGCTCATCACTTATACGTGCATGAGTTGCTCGTCTCTCGTAATTTGCCAAAAGCATGTTGGAGGGTGGCAAACTCACAGACGGCTCTCAGCTGAAGGCTCTTTATTGGTCATGTCATCCCGTTTAACATGCTCCATATAGTAAGACGAGAATTCTGGGGAGCCTTCAAGGTTGGTCTACGATTATTTTTCTTTTTTCTTTTTCTTTTTTTCAAAGGCAGGAGTCTAATGACACCTCAGCCTTGAAAAAAGCCCTCCAAGAACGGAGCTGGGGTCTACTTCTTCGCCGAGCTCTCTGCCTCTATCTCTCAATCCCATCGTGGCCACCCGCATCCCCGCCTCGTCTTTACCTTTTGGTGTCGCGACCGACTGGTCATGGATTCGGCAAGATACTCATTAAGAATGGCACTGAGACTCTCTACTCCAGATTCGTCGCCATTTTGTCCAAACAATAGACCATCTCAAGGCTCTGCCGTTATCTCAGCTGACGTAGGTACTCAAGGTTCCTTGTACCGCTACCAAGTTCGTTGCTTCCGAAGCCGTCTTCTCCCAAGCTAATAAGTCTCATCTGTCGAACGGTGTATCAATAAATGTTGATTGTATGGGCCTATCGGTTGATTCGCCGCCGCCATTGCGTCTTAACCGGCTGATGCTACACTATTCAGCGTCCAGAAGAAAAGGGACTGCTGGGAAAAAGCATCGTCTGCGCCTCTTCAAAATTCCTGGAGAGCTGGTCTCAGCACGATGTCCCGCTGGCCTTTATAATTGTCTATTCATGGTTCTCATGACCGGTTAGTTCGCTCTCTGCCGAGATGTCAAGGCCTTGGTAAGTCTTTCTCATGAAACCTTTTCTTCAAAGAAAGTTAAACTACCGCCACACCCAGCTGCCAGCAAAGGACTTATTATCACCAAGCGACAATGAATTGATTGAAAGTGAGTATGTTATTCCGCAATCACTCTATTAACATGTAAAAGGTGGCATGCTTGATGTTATAATGGGAGGAAGGGTTAACTACAGACTCGGGGCTATGTAACTAATCTCCGGTACTTCCGTTAACTCCAATTCCTCCGGCTTTGTGCAAGTTGCATATAGAAGAAGATATTACAGGCAGTTAAGTTATGGTTTACATTATACAAGCCACTGTTAGGGTGAAGCCAAAGATCATCTCAGCGTTGGGGTGCGACTCAGAATTGCACTTCATTGCAATCCAGGTTGCTATCCTTATACAGTGGACCCCCAAGGGCGAAGCCAAACAGCATATTGCAGCGTGCTATTATGAAGGATTCCAATTATTGTCAGTAGTCTGACATTGAGCTCTCCTTACTGTATAGTCTAGAAAGCTGCACAGCACCGTAGATGTGTCAATCCTTCGATATCTTAACCCAGGGGTAATATCTTATACCACAATGACAAAGTTTGCTCATTAGCACAAGATATCTGCCAGAGAACACAAACAATACTCTCAAGCCTTTTGGAAGAATACAGAGGCCGCATCGGAATATGTGGATGCATGGGGAAAATACGCTCACCATGCCAGATGAGTTTGGTGTGGTGGATATGAGCGGGTTATCTGTTTTGGGATACGCTCATTTCTTGATACCCTCTTTTTTTGCAAACCCCCTGGCTCTCTCTCTCCTCTCAGCTAATAATAACTGAGTAAAAGATACTTCGCCGCACGTCGTCCCAATGCAAGACAAGTGCAGTCCCAGTATGATGCTCTTGCTGAGGCTAGCATAAAAATATCTATCGAAAGATCTTTAGATATGATACAATAGCCATACGAAGCGTATAATTCTCTAGTTCATATGCGTTCGAAACAATCTACTAGTATCATTGTGCGATATCATAAAAACTCATGTGGCAGAGGCCACCTTCCCGATTGAAGAAAAACAAAGCGGTTAACATGGATTTCTCATTATTATGAGTATAAGGTTACAAAACAATGAAGAGAAATGCCGAACTAACAACAATCTTTTCCCAGCCACGCCAACACTATCAAGGCTTCATGGCTCTTGAACAATTCATTACGTTTAGACAAGCTAGAATATCAACTGGTATTACATCACAGATTAGTATTGATCTCAACAGCCGTAAGGGGGCAAAACACCCAGGAATTTGCGTGATATCCGTTATGCTAAGCTGGCACGTCAAACAGCGGCCTTTAGACTTAGCTCCATTCAAAATCCGGATATGTTACCAATCCACAAAACTCTCTTTCAAGAAAACATCTACGATCTCAGGTTCTATATTTATTGGACCATCTGTTCCATTCACAATAATATGTTGAAATGCATCACTTATCATTATCATCGTGGCTCAAGTTCACCGGCAATGATTAATTAACCTCAGCATTGGCCAATTTCTCTTTTTCCAACCGAATAATCTTGCGTCTTTCCTACCCAATATGGCTTTTCAATTTCACACAACTACTTTTGGCCTGCTAATGCGATTACTTTCTGGCAATAAAATCTTTCAATATCCCGATGAGATCGATCCACTGCTATGGAAAAAGTTTCTTCGCCAAGATACATCCGAACATGCAAATGACTCTGGCGGAGGATCGAGTAAAAACGAGGCAGATGAGAATAGTGCTCTGCAGGACACCGTCGTTCACGATGGTGACAATGAGATTCTCCTAGTAGAGTGGTATGGACCAGATGACCCCGAGGTAAGACCACCACCTACTGCCTCTAGGTATATCATTTATCTGCCAAATGATGTAGCGCTAAAGCCAGCTCTTTGACTTGTAGAATCCTCGAAATTGGCCATTGGCCTGGAAAAATCTCATGATGTTTCAGCTTTGTGTCCTAAATTTCGCTGTCTACATGGCAAGTTCTATCTATGTCCCAGGTGAGCTGGGCGTTATGGAAGACTTTGGTGTCAGTGAGATCGTAGCGACCCTGGGCCTCTCTCTCTTCACTCTGTAAGGCAACTCAGCTCCATGATGAGATTCAAAGGTATCAATGTCTTTGCTAACGTCTTTTTCTATTACTGCCAGCGGATATGGTGTCGGCCCCATGTTATGGTCTCCATTATCTGAGATGCCAAAAATTGGACGCAGTGGTATCTTCTTCTGGACACTCTTCGCCTTTATCTTATTTCAGCTTCCCGTTGGATTTGCTCCAAATATTGCAGTCTTTCTCGTCTTTCGTTGGGTGACGGGCTTCTGTGGTAGCCCGTGCTTATCCACCGGTGGCGGCACCATCCTTGATCTATACGACCCCTCTGTCGCCTCCTATTTACTGTGCATTTGGGGAACAGCTGGCCTCTGCGGCCCTGTATTTGGTCCAATCATTGGCGGATATCTGGTCCCTGCCAAAGGATGGCGCTGGACAATATGGATCATTACATGGATTTGCACGCTGGTTTTGGCCGCAATGTTTTTCTTTTTCCCTGAGACCAGCGCAGCGAACATACTGTACAAGAGGGCCAAAAGATTGAGGAAGGCGACTGAGGACAGTCGACTTAGGAGCCAGTCCGAGATTGACGCCGCGCATTATACCACAAGAGATCATCTAATCGTCCTCTCCAGAGCTTTTACTTTGACATTTTCTGAGCCCATAGTTCTACTCATGAACTTGTACGCCGGTCTCCTGTATGGTATACTGTTCATCTGGTTCGAGTCATTCCCGCTCGTGTTCGGAGATATTTACGGCTTCAACCAAGGCGAACAAGGCCTGGTTTTCCTAAGCATTTTCATCTTTGCTCTCATCTCATTGGCACTCTTTTTACTATGGATCAGAACCAGCCTTGTCCCAAAAGTCAATAAGCCGGGCTTTACGCCAGAGATGGTCCTTCCTCCAACGTTTTTGGGATGTCTCGCTCTTCCAATTTGCCTATTCTGGTTTGGCTGGACATCAAGGGCGAGTATTCACTGGATCGTCCCCACCATTGGATCGGGCCTCTTCTCTATTGGGGTTGTCACGTTGTTTAATCCGCTATTCAACTATCTAGGCATCGCATATCCCGCATACGCAGCGTCCATATTCTCGGGGTCTGCACTTTTCCGTGCCTCATTCGGTGCCTCATTTCCACTCTTCGTAAGAAATAGTGTACATCCACCTTGATTTCCGTAACTAATCACAAATCTCCTTTTAGGCGCGCCAACTCTTCCTCCAACTAGGCCTTGGCCCAGGTAACTCGCTTCTCGGTGGTATCGCCGTGCTATTTATTCCAGTCCCCTTCGTTTTCTACAAGGTAGGTCCACAGTTATGAGACATCGCGAGGAATAAAACTGACCGCCAAGTAGTTCGGGGGAAAGATCCGTCATATGAGTAAGAATGCTCGGCACGATTTATAAGAACATTGTGCAACAGCTAGACACTCAATGCAACAACAGTCATCGCAGATCGATAAACTCATTAAGAATAGCTTCTGGGCTTCTTAATGAAAGAAAATTCAAGGATTAAGAAAATCTTTATCAATTGGGAGACGTACTGAATGGCAGCGAGGAGGACGATGTTTTGAGGTACCAGAAGAGAAATAGGAAGAAAATGTGCTGATGTGAAGCAAAGAAAACTCCATAGATAAAAGTGGGTTAGGCATATTAGACTGAAGCGACTTTTGGTGCACAGCTCAATGAGTTTGCATTGGTCAAATGCATTTATAATTGCGATAACCTGGTTCTGACGATATTTCTAGTATTCCAAGTTGTCCTTTTTGTATTGCGTGCTGAATCTATGTACCTAGGTAGAATGAAGAAGATAAACTCTCATTTTAGGCCATTACAGATGTTAGATTAGCGGATGCACTCACTCACGATAGGCAGGCGGGGAATAATACAGGGCAAGCAGGGGTCGCTTTTACTGTCGTTGCGCGCCATGTTCAGTTGGATGGAGTGCCCGGTTATAAAGTGCACCGGTGAGATATACTATGTGGTACATACGACCATACTAAGGTAAGGTACATGTAGTGGAAAACTCCGAGTCCCTCAAGATCTTATACAAAATTTAATATCTGTAATTTTTAGCATGATAGATATCTAGTTTTAAAATTCTCTTAATCTGGTTTTAAAAATGTATATAAAATATTAATTACATTTTTCCAACTAGGTTGTATTTTCATTATTTTTCTCTGTGAAAGAGTACTCACTAGCTGAGCTCGTTCTCGATTTATAATAGCTGCTACCTAGATAGAAGTAGATAGAGTCGACGGTAGCTGGGGCTATTAATGATGGTTGAGATCAGGCAGCGGTAGTTGTATTATACCTGTATTCTTCAACTTCTACATCGTAGTGAAAGCTCTCTACGTACACTTACAATGCCGCAAAGCGAACGCACACGACAAGGGCTCCTATACGTACCTACATCAAGACTTCTATACTCTGCAGCTGCGTGTCAGCCACACGGGTGCAAAGCGATATGTCAAGTGGTGATAGCCGCTCCCGACCAATGAAATAAATAAATACAATCATGAGACTCGTGACCCCGCACTTTATTTGGCGACATCAGGTTTTGATGCCCAAGCCGTATGAACTGGGTTCACATCTTCACATCTTCACACCTCAGTGTCTGTACTCCTACTCCATACCATACCATCCGAAGATGAGCTCATCGTTTCCCTGGGGCATTGATGGACTAGACAAGTCTCGATTTGAAGCTTATGCCAAACTCTTACGGCTAAAGAATGGCGGCCAGATTGAGGAGGCTTCGAACTTCTCCGAAATACTCGACGAAGACATCGAATTAGAGAAGTCGGACGACACCGATTCCGTCAACGCGAACGCATTCCTGTCGTTTGATGAGAGAAAAATGAAGAGGGCATTCCTTGATAGGCTATCTGAGCTTATTGCAAATGAGAAAGGCGGCCATCATGTCTCCTCATCTCTGATGATCGCGTGGCCAGATCGAGTCGATATTCTCGTAGCAAGAAATAATGGATTCAGAGAAGGGGATGTCACTCTCCGCATGCTGGAAACTATCGCTTCTAGCCTCCGAGATATCTCCACGCTTGATTCCTCAGGTCTGGCATGTTCTTGTTAATCTGCATGTAGCGAGCTAACAGCGGTCCGTTTAGATCCTGTCGCCGCTTCTACCAAACAGAATCTTTGGACATCATTGGTACAATCGTACAGGCCCAGATTAAGCGATTACATGATTCAGGTCAAAAGAACCTTGAAAGAGACTATCCCACCTGAGGGGGGCCTGATAGAGACTCTGCCCTTAGACGATCGCGCAGCATCTCTTCTTTTGTGCCTCAAGGGATTTCGCGCCCTTATTGATGTTGCGGCACGTTCGCAAACGCAGGATGATCTTGAAGAGGTTGTAAAGAGCGCCCACAACATCTTCTCTTTCTACAAGGAGCATGATTTTGATAAGATTACCAGCAACAATACCAATATCAGGTCACTGAGAGACGCGCTGGGCTTCCTCGGTAAGTTACAAACATGCTTTAATACTCTGACGAGAAGCGCAGAGAGGCTCTCCGGCTTTCAAAATCTTCGTATCCTCCCGGTGATGGATCCACCGACTGGCGCAGCCAAACCGAAAGGGACGGATCGAAACAATGCCTGGTCGTTGGCGGAGACTTTTTCATCTCTGGGCCTTGCACTAAACGACAAAACAGCGGAATCTCTTGTCGGAACTGGAAAAAGGAAAGGGTCTTGGACGAAGAACAAACTGCTCCGAAGGTTTGACAAGATGAAGTCATCGGCCTCTGAAGTACACGCAGAAATGCAAGTCATTTTGGCGGCGACAAAACACAACTGTACGGGCGCGGCAATATTCAACTATGTGGGCTGCAGTAAGCGCAGCTGCTTCCTTTGTTCCAGGGTCATTCAGAGCTATGGGTCTTACACGACAAGGGGATGTCATGGCAAGCTCTACGATCTCTGGACTGTGCCCGAACTTCCATGGCTCACTAAGGATGAACGCTTAAGGCTCGTTCAAGCTCTCAAGAATGTCGAGAGAGCCATGAAGAAATCTCTACGTGATAAGAAGACTGAAGGACTTATCCATGCCAAGGAATCCACGATCGGGGGCTCTTCAGTTGCGACCAGAAGACAGCAATCTGACCAAACCCCTTATATGATGTCCCTCGTCTCAGAGTATCTCAGATCGCAGCGCCAAGGAATGAGGTCCAATGCTGGCAAGAAAGAAGATTTTTCGAGCCTTGAGTAAGCAACCACTGTGAATCAAACGCATTGAAGTCCTGACATGCTCTAACAGAGGATTAAGTCAGCCTTCGCTAGACGGAACTCAATACGAGGCCAATCTGGATACACTTTTGTTTGGCCAAACTCAAGGTCGTTCCGAGACGACGATACCGAAACCTGAACAGCTTCGAGGCGAATGTTCCGTTTGCGAAAGAGAAACCAATCGCCACTGTCAATTCTGTAACCTGGATTGGTTTTGTCGTAAAGAGTGTCAGGATAAAATGTCATTTCGTCACCTCACCAAGTGTTCCGCTCGCTCGATAACAACTGCCGACATACTCTATAGTGATGTTATTGGGGACCGGCTTCCGCAAGACCCAGAGACATGTGAGCATTTTGGGTTCACCCGGTGCCGCGACGGGAGAGAGAAATCTTATCTCTCTGGCCTTTATCAAGGTCTTGTGTATTTGGATGTTGAGGCTATCCAGCTAAACGAATGGCGAGAGAAAGGTATCCTTGTGAGCAAAATCATAGAGGCGTTTTCCAGGTTGTCTGAGCAGAACCGTGGGGGCTACTTCCCATGGTTCCTTCGAAACCAGCATATCCTTGACAGCTCAACCCCACCTCTTCAGCTTGATGGAAAGGATAATCCCCTCCAACGGGCTGTAAACGCCGCGAGGCCCTACCTCGACCTAGAAGATCGCGACAAGGACCTTCAACAGTTAGAGCCACCATCGAAACGGCATTGCTTCCTATTTTATGCTATGGCCTTGGACAGCTCGTATCCAAACCCATATTGGGCCGAATTGGATATATGGTACGATTTTGGCTTCGCAGTTTGTCGTGGCGAATACTATCAAAGTCAACTTGGGGCCCTCTATAGTCAGCTTGTTGGTGGTAACAAATCAATGAGAGATTACGACCAAAGTCTAGGGGTTAAACCAGAAAATTATCCTGATATGCCTACATGTTCATTCAACGAATTTTGGTTGGCCTACAGAAACGGTAGCCTTGGAAAGCTCTTCCACCAATACGGTTTAGGGGGCCAAATGAGTCGTTACTTGGGCTTGCAGGAATTTCTATCTTTCTCGCTGAACCAACGTGAACTGCGCCCATCAGTTTGGAGGTTGAAACATTTCCTGGCCCTCGATCCTAACGATCCGCTAGGCAACCTTCCTAAAGTTGAAGCAGCCGCTCATGAATACGGGTTCACATCGCAGCTCAACGCGGGGACAAGGCTGGCTTTGAGGCAATTTTATGAACAGTTATTTGAGAAGGTTAATCCACTCAGGATCCATGACGCAAAGAATTGTGGCAAATTGCTTGATTATGTGGAAAGCAAACTTGGTGTCATTGATGATGGCGTCCGGCATGTATTGCGACAGTTTGGCTGACGAAGACTGTATGGGCCTGGGCTCGAGTGAAAAGATATTCTGGGATAAATGCAAATCACCATTAATCCGCATTGCTTAATCTTACACATTTCAGTTTCCTTCGCAAATTGATAATATATCTAGGCGGCCATTTATGTAATTTACTGTATTCCCTAGCAAAACTTATTATTAGATCTCAGCGGAATTCTACCCAGTTTTGATCGAATTAACCAATAGGGTAGCTTGTCTAGCTAGCGTTATACCAGAAACAATGGCAGGGAATGCAGCAACTTATTATTTTTTGTTATAAGGTAAAATGTAAAATTGAACGCAATTATTTCGACAGGAACAGGTTCTGGTCAAAGAATAAGCATATAGAAATGTATGAATATAGTATTTCCCCATAATAAACAGGATTTTATAATAGCAGAGCTAATCAGCATCTCTCTCCTTGCAGAAGGTTACGACGGCTTTATCTACTACTTCGTGAAACTAAATATGTAATGACTGGGAGTTTGATCTGATGAAATCAAAGGACGCTGATCGGAAGCTGTCATTTAACAAAGATGAAGAAGTTGCACCAAGTTGCATCACCTGTTTTCCTGATCCCCAGCATGGCCATGTGGGGAGTAGTGCTGAGCCATTGCTGTTTGGGTTCATCGTGTTGAAAAAAGAAATGTAAAATTCTTGTGTAACGGCGGAAGCATAGCCTGGAATCAGTCCAAACGCAGCGATTTGTGAGGTCGTATGGAAAGTTCCCAAAAAACCCGTCCCGTATAAGTAAGACGAAAGAAAGGACCACGTCGGTACTGATGGGGCTATCTGGTCTACTGTCTCAAGAAGACTGCGCCTTTGAAGTGTGAAAATAAAGTCACCAAGTATAGCGGCCAGTCGTTTGTATTTTGGATAGAGGTTATTCAACGGCCCTGTTCTAAAAGGCGAACCAGCCTCGGGATCGTCTGGATAGGTGGCCACCAGATCTTGGACCTGAGACGCAGTGGCTTGCTGGAAATAGAGGCTGCTAAGATATTCTTCAACGTCTTGTGTGCTAGTAAGATTCAATTGGTAAACTGAGAACAGAGTTCCTTCATCTTCCTGGTCGCCTAGCAACAAGGGGACTTTTGCAAATTGACCTCTTGAAGCCAAGATTTCCGGTGAATCAAGGAGGACTGTTCCATCTGGCCTTGGTAGGTATGACAAAGCGATGGAATTATAACTGCTTGAGATGGGAACAGATTCTGCCGCTAATAGAAAGGTGTTAAAGTCTACGGATCTCAGACATGCTAGAGTATCGTTAGATGTCGAGCATCCGGCGGTGTCAACGACCTTGTCATAGATGAGTTGAGCTTTTGTAGAATTGGCAGGCTCCGCAGGGAGGATGCTGCCGCTCTCCATCAAAGCTGCCCTAAAAAGAGGCTTTCCGTGATAAGAGTTATTGCCTCCAAAGAGCGCCGTCTGATCAAAGACGCTCATAGAGCCTGCAGAGAATCCCCAAAGTGTCACTTTATCGGGATCGCCACCAAATTGCTCAATATTATCAGCGACCCACTGCAGTGCCAAACGCTGGTCCCTTAGGCCTAGGTTGGTGCTTCCATCGTTGAGAAGCTCTTTGCCAGCAAGGAAACCGAAACCCCCTAATCGATAATTTGCCGCCACAAAAATGATAGGTGTACCAGAAGCAATTGAGGTTTGGATGAGATTTGTGGAGTCAACTCCCTGTGTGGCGCCAGATTCAAAAGCTCCTCCATAAATGAAGAATACTACAGGAAGCTTGGAACCGCTTGAAGCATCTGAGGGCCTCTGAACATTCAATGTGAGGCAATCTTCGTCTTGGTTTTGTATTACATTCGTTATATTCGTGATGATATCCAGTAACGCTGGTGGTAGGCCGCTGGGAGTAAACTGCGAAGAAAATTGAGGGCATGCTTTCGGAGTAGCGGTTGCCTGAACTTCGCCCAAAGAAGAAGTTATCGGTTGTGGTGGCTTCAATCGTAGCGATCCTAGTGGCGGTTGCGCGAAAGGTATGCCTCTAAAGCTGTCGATTCCATTACTGCTGGAACCAACAACTGTAGAGTAGCGCAAGGCCACGGTTGGACCATCTGCACCAGCCAACTGTGCGTTAGAGGCAACGGCAAGAAGAAGTCCCGTTAACTTTGTGAGCCTGAACATGGTGGGGGCGACCAATAAGATTCCTGCTTTGTGAAAGGCAACTGAAGAACATGAACTAAACTGACTCGATAATCCCCAGAAAAGAAGCAGTGGCTGATTCGGACGTCCTCTAACTATTTATCAGAAGCTGACCTCTCTGGAGTTGCTTATTCTCTTGTGCCTCGGGTCATAGCTATTGGAAATGCAGTAAACTACATGTAGTCAGAAGCAACCGCGGTACAATGGCTCAGCGGAAGCAATTGTGGCAATAATTCTACACTCTCATGTCAGCTGGCTTGGTGTTTTCATGGTTTGTTCCTTTTCACCGACTGTCTCGGATTGCTTCTCGGTCGCTTTCTCGGTCGGGGCGACTAATATTGACTAAGGGGCTATGAAGCTAATACGAGTACGCAAAAAGTAGCCAATATTTCGTATTTCGTAGCCGAGTTCCGTGGTCAGATTGCGGGGATAGTGTGATTCGACACGGATCCCCCGCAATTCCCCCAGAGTTGGATGCATAATCACGATCTCATCAGAGAACATGCACGTCCAAACGCCGGCATACCCCAACGTACCCCGACATCCATCTTGTGCCTGCTGGAAGGCTGTAGTTCAATCTTCGGTCAGTACTGAATAGAAATGGAACAAAGCAAAAGCCCGGCTACGGCCACGACGACGGCCAAGGCAGCAATGCCGAAGGCTTGTGACGCGTGCCGTCGTCGGAAACTCAAGGTACCACCCGCATTATTCCACACCCCCTTTAGACACAGCCGTTAATGGACTTGATAGTGTCCGAGGCGGCAAGGGTCACCCTCCGAATCACCATCAGATATGAGGTGTCTTCGCTGCCAGCGGACAGATATCCGCTGTACATACAATGACGAATTCGGAAGAAAAGGACCCAGAACTGGAAGGTGTGTTATCTCGTGAACTACAAGGTTAAATTTTCTTCTAACAGCTGTAGGCGACTCGAGGCTATTCGGGCCAGTCAAGCGTTGGAAGCAAATTCCAGTGCAGTGAATGCTACTCCAGGCAATGGTGCTAGTCAACCACACGATTTGATACCAAATGATTCTTTTTCGGAACAATCGCCTGTCCAATTTGATCTCTCCTCCTTTGGTGAAGATGATTCTGCATCGTCTATCGGTCACTTAGACGGTCATGGCGGAGCGGATTCCACAGCTTCCAACCTTGACACCATTCAACAACCATGGGAACGATTGGCTCTCGGGACATCCGCAGACATACTTAATCCAGTATTGGAAGAACAGAATGTGGTTCATTTCAGTCATGATCAGCTCTCTGTTGCCGCTATCGAAAGCACCGATGGAGTTGCCTTTTCATGGCAAGATATTGTCGCCGAATTGGCTTTGTTTTGCCTCAAGTGCTACCAACGCCATCCAATCATCAATTTGGAAACTGTGCTCAACAGGATTGAACGGGGGGACCACGTTTCGGATCCCACCTTTCGCACAATGCTGCTCTCAATATTTCTCGTCAACGAGGCCAGTCAGTTTCGACACTATCCCGACCGCAGCCCAGCGCGGTTAGACCTTCTTTCAAGAGCGACAGAGAAATCACGGGCCAATTCACCCTACTACCATTTTGCCGACTCCCCGTCTTTAGATACCGTCATCTCTTCACTCTTCCTTTTCATAGCATACAGCGTTCGAGATAAGCACAATCGCGCTTTCCTTTATCTAACAGAAGCCATCGGGCTCATGGATCTTGTCAAATACCCATGCGACCGGATAGAGGTAGTTCAATACCACCGTATTGAGTGTTTGCTGTTCGTTACCGAAGCGGCATCTAACTCGATATACGGCGCCCGGGGAAAGAGAAGAATCGCCAGGAACCCCTCTAGCCCTCCCCCGAAAGAAATGCTGGATAGATGGTATATCTCCGAACACAAGCAAAAGCAGCTTCCCCCACTGCTATCTACTCTGCCCTATGAATCGTTAGACAAACGAGCCGCTGAGCTTCTGTACGCTATGACTCGACTTCATAGCGCTCTTGATACAGTTGGCGTCTCCAGTGTTGAGTTTCAAGACCATATCTTGGCCACCTTGAGTAATGAGGATGACCATAAGCCTTCATGTTTGATCCAAACTGCAGACGTGGCCATCACCAGACAATGGAAACTGGCTACCCACTGGTGGCATGCATTATCGGAAAATGGGTACTCTTCCGAGAGGAAAGAAAATGCGCGCTACATAATACAAATCATTGGCATGACTGCAGTTCAACGCACCAAGTTCCTTCATCCCGGAGCTTGTCGAATAGTGGGCCACGGTAAACTGGCTGCGCTTGCGGATACCATGTTTAAGATTTCATCCGCCCTCGACATATTACAATGTTGTTCTTCACTGATACGCGACATGATTCACATTGTTTCCAAAGCAGATTGCGAGGGGTCATTTGCACCTGGACTTAGTCTTGTCGCAATCTGTATTGAAGAGGTGCCGCGGCCGGTCACATCTGCCCATGAACTAGAATACGATGGTCGAGCATTTGGAAATACTGATGTAGAACTATTTCCTGGCAACTAAACTAATATTGACTCTGTTGTTCTATCTAAATTGTCTTCAGTGCGTAGTCCAACGCACGGACTTGGTTTCTGAAGAATTGCCTTGCTGCTAGTGCTGTGGTTGGAAATGTGATCCCATGAGGAACCCCCGGGACAATCTCCAGTTGGGTATCTATACCTGCATTTCTCAGATGCAGGGCGTATGCTATACCCTCATCTCGAAGTCCATCTCGGCCGGCCACCGTGATATGACATGGCGGATGATTAGTTGGAACTTCAGTCTTAAGCACCGAGGCGTATCCGTGCGCGAATTCGACACCTGCATAGTTGTCTGTGATCATGTATT